TTCTCACCCCTCCATGCAAGAGAGCTGCTTTCCAGCATGGGCTGAGGCTGCAGCAAGCCCAGTTTCAGTGGCAGCAGCTTTGTCACTGCTTTTGCTCTTCCACAAGAAACAGCAGCACCAGGGTCAGTGTTAGGTGGCAGATTTGTAGGTGAAAGAATACAAATTTCATTACAGTATTGGTTTTGCTGTTAGTCAAGTTCAGCCAATTGCATTTATGTTGAGCAACACCCCAAGCCTGCTGGAGCCAGTGGGAGTTTTGCCATCAGCTTCCCTAGAGGGTAGGATTTTGCTCATTGTTTAAATTAGCTGCATCTTCACAGGAGCATATGGGAGCAAAAGCAAAGCTTTTGTATCGAAGGAGTCAGTAAGCAGCTTTATGCATTTACTCTGTGACACAGGTAAAAGCTGAGACAGCAAAACCCATCTGCTAGACCTTCAACACATCTCTGTAAAACCCATGTTAGAGTCAGAGCATTCTTTCCTATTTTATTTATGGCTCTGGCTGCCTGAACGAGTGCATCTGGAGCTCAGATGCCTTATGCCTGAACAGTAAATTAGTTAACTTGAAAAATTGCACATGGATCTTTGCTGTGGAAATACCAGGCTCTGTAGTTGAGGTGCTTTTGTGTGTGCATATGTTTTTTATGTTAAAAAGCTATTGAACTTTAGGCATAAACACTGTTCTCTGTCTCTTTTTTCCCCCTCCCTCTTTTGTTACAGACCGTGGACTAGCATTGAATATTCAGGGAGAGCTCCCCAGAGAGATTAGGGACATGGACAGATTTTAAACAGGACCTTAATGCATGGACACGAAAAGACAAACGTTCTAGTGGGGATACTAATGCAAATGCCCTTCCTTGGGGTCAAAATGCATTAAACAGCTGCTTGAATGCTAAAGATGCTATTAAAATCAATACAGACCGGAAATCATAGAATTTCTAAGTAGAGATCTTGCTCAGTGTAGTAGCTAAAGAGTATAAGGACTTCACTGGCCCCCTTTGTTATAAAGTACACAACACTATCAAGTAGCGGTGCTAGAGAGAAGCACAGCTATGAATCCCTTTTTGCAGGGCTCAGAATCCCAGGTCCTGTTGAAACTTAGTTCATACAGGAGTATGTCCTTCCTGAAAAGCTATGGGAAGTGAGACTTAACAGCAGTAGGAGTCAGATGCCTTGACATGTGTAAACTGATGTTATCAGTTACTTTGATTACACCTTTGTGGAAGATAGGCTATTGCTATTTTTAATAAATCTAACTGAAAGAAATGCAGTGAAGCCACTGCACGAACAAGCAGTGACAGTACATGTATTTGGGCCAGCTATGCAGCAACTAAACTCAAATGGAGTCCAACTGTAAAAACTGACTGCCTAAATGGGTCAGCATCTGAAATTGAATTGCATCATAGCAACACAGCAGTATCAAAGCCACAGTGCACTTTAATGGCCACACGGCTGGTATTTATCATTAAGCTATGGGCATATTAAAGGAAGGCTTGACAGATTTAAACTACATGTAATCAAAACATATTTCATTAGGTGCTGCATCCTTGTAACTGCAGCAGGCATTTGACAGCTTCAAACTCCACATTTCTTAAGCTTGGGGAAGAACATGTTCAGTGAGGAGCCCTGTAGCTTTGCACTCTGCAGCCTGCAACTTACCATTGCAGCCTGCCTCTTTTGTCCCATAGCTCTTCCTTTTGGTTTCTCTGCTTTCTACCAATTCAGATATTTGGTTGCAACCTCACAGCTTTTCCTGGTCTGCCATTCCTGACTGTGCTCTTTAAACCATTCCTTGGAGACCTCTTCTCTGCACTAAAAGTTGCTCCCAAGTTTATTACTCTGCGAGCTGGTTTTGAGGCTATGTTGGGTGCATCCTGTTTGCAACTTGGAAGACAGTGGTTGGGTCCAACTCTGGAGCTGTAAGAAATAGGTAGAACTGCAGCTGCTGTCCTCAGGATATATAATTTGGGATTGTTTCAGAATGAAGTGGCCTCTCTAACCTTAGCTTTGCTGGTGGTAATGCCTGTGGTATAACCATGCTCGACAGTTTGTGGTTTGGATTGTGGTTAAGGAGGACAATTCCATTTAAGAACACAACTGCCATTGATATAGCAAGACTTCATGATGTCTGTGTTCACACATGGCCTTTAAATCTAATTGGACGGCAAGACCAGTCAGACCCCTCTTCACAGGCTAGGCCTTGCTGAAATTGATACTCTGTGAGCCTTGAAGTGGTACCACTGGTGTTAACCAGTGTGCCCTTGATTGTTCCTGCTCTTCCTCCCTGGCCTAGAACGCACACATCCATTAAGGTGAGCACCACTGTCTTGTCTCTACTTCTCCCATGTTTCTCAGAAGTGCTTGACAAAGAGGAAATGTTAAAGGGAGGGAGCATTTTCCTGAGCTTGCAGCACGTACCTTTTCACGGAAGGTGGGATGCACTGCAGAGCCGTCTTGGATCCTCCTGCTGCCACCACCTTATTGGAGGTTCTCCCCCTCAGTGATGTGCGACATGATGGTGGATTAGAAAGAGGGCATTAAAAACAAAAAAGCAGGATTGGGGAATGAAAGGAAGACACTTCCCTTCGTGCTCTTCCATCCCAGAGAAAGGTGAATGATGCTTGTGTCCAGAAGGTGGCACCGGCAGCCCGAGCCTGTCGGCAGTTCTTTCCCTGCCCTCCCGGCCGGCCGGGGCCCGGCCCGGCCCCAGCCAGACGGGCACCGTCGCCCCGGCTGGAAGCTGCTGCGCTAATCTGAGCACTCAGCCTTCTTAAAGGCTCTCGGCACTTTAAACCTACAGCCAAGCCTGTGCTCACCTTGCCTGGCTACAGCACAGGGGTGACCGGCATAGGGGATACACCAATAATCAGATGTGTGACTGTGATCTTGTGACTTAAATAAGCAGCTGAGCCGGGGAGGAGCAGAAGCTTTTAGCAGCGGGATCTTTACCTCCCCAGTACAAAATTAGGTTTGCTGTTGAAGAGGAGGAAAGCCCATTTGAGGTCACTATTCAGGGTTTAGGGTTTTTTTTAAGGGTGTCTTGCAGCAGCTGCTATTGCAGCGTGGGCACTGCTGCTGTTAGATGTGCATTTACTACTGGTGCAAGCAGCTAAGTTATCACAAGCACTGGCAAGCATCTCAGGTGACCCAACTGTGAATACTCAAAGACAGTATCATGCTTTACCTTCTCCGTTTTGGGGGATTCTCTGTGACTGTGGAAGGTAGATGTGGAGCAGAGTTTTGGCCCTGTGATCTGAGGTTTTTCAGACAAAAGTGTAGGGTGAGGAGACACTTTGGTGCTGGAGAGCCCCTGGGCAGTAAAACAGTTTTGTTGCAAAGAAGAATGGGTCAAATTTTCAAAGCAAGCTTTTATGCAAGAGCAATTCTGGCTTTTGTGTTTCCTTTCTTAGGCTGGAAGATAGCTTTCTTAATTTAGACAATGGTTTTCCTGACCTCAGAAACCACAGGGATCAGTGCTGGGTTTTGGGGATATCCTGCTCTCCATGTTGGCCAGTCTGTCCCCATTTTCCTTGACTAGTATTACTGATTTTGGTTACAAATTAAAACAATACTTCCCCCCCCCCCCTTGTCTTCACCCCATCTCCTCTCAACAGGAGCCAAACCCTGGCTCCTGTACCTGCCATGCAGAGCCAGCTGCTGCAGTAGGAAGAAGGCAGGCACTAGGCCAGCTGCTGGCTGTGGCACTGCTGCCAGTCCTCATCCTCCAGTCACTGCCTTCTGCTCCCCCTGTGGCAGCACTTCAGTCCTGAGCAGTAGCAGGCAGGAGGAGACACTCGAGGGAAAGCCTGCTGATCATGTCGATCGCTTCTGCGAAAACGAAACCAACAAGACAATATCCAAAATAACCCCCAAACCTCTCTTATGTGCTGGTTCTTAGGCTCTGCTGGTTTGCATCTAGCAGCATGAAATTGAAAAATTGGAATAAACTGGGCACAGCGTGTTTACTGTGTCCCTTTAGTTTAACAGTGTCCTGAAAGGACCCTTGTTCTTTAGAGCTATCCACTGAGCAACTAAAAGTAACTGTTTTTAAAATACAGCTGCTTAAATCCATCTAGATTTTGAAAAGGTTTTAAAGGAAGAAGCATGTAGGTTGAAAATAAGAAGTAGAGAAGAAATTATTCCACGTTGTGCAGCTAACTGTGTTGGAACAGCCTGCTTTTTCCCAGGTGCTTATCTGCTGTTGGTGACTCTTGGCACTACACATATTCAGGAAGGCAGAACATGCATCAGGACAAGAGGGCTGCATACAGAGAAAAAAAATGTGACCTTGCAACAGCCTCAGATGTTGCTTTTCCTTCTTAGTGCTGCCTGTGTCCTTTGTTTCTTATACAGTCCCCTTACTAGACAATGCTGGGGGCTGAGCCTCTCAGGTTTTTTCCTTTCTTTTTATGTTGTTGGCTTACACTACTTCTGATAGCTTCTTTATCACCTACTCCCTGCAAGGCAAACTGCAGGGTTGCTTCCCTTCTGTAGCAGCTGTGCTGAAGAACTGCTGATGAGGAACAAAATGGGAGCTACTGAGCAATCATTTGGAGACTGGCTATTAAAAACAAAAAGCCAGCTAATTAGAGCTTAGAGGAAGAGGCAACACTTTGTGCAGAAACACCAGAAGGTAGGCCCTCCAAATCCCATACACTCCCTGTAAATAACTATAATTAACCCCACACTATTCAATTTATTAATTAAAATTTAATTAATATTTTCTATGCCTGACAATCATCTTAGAGGCAGGCAGGGAAACACAGTGGCAGCTGGGCTACCATAGAGCAGCAGTGACATTCAAGAGGGCAGAGGCACCGGAGACTTGTCTCAGTCTCCCGGTCATACCTGCAATAAAACAGAACTGAAACTGGTCACTGGATTGCTGGATGGGAGATAGTGCATGCCCCAGTGTTCTCCTTCATGCTTCCAGGCAGCACCCTACAAATGCAGCGCCCACCTGGGTTATTTATAAGTGTGAAAGAAAGAAAGAATGAGAAAATGAAGTCATTATTTATTTGACCATACCAACTGAGGGCTGCTAGACAGCACTGTGTTTCACTTGGGTGTGATGTTCTGCTTGGTGCTTTGAGTAGAGGTGGTCTCAGCAGAGACACCTCTCCTGAACTTCATGGGCCCCATCAAAATAGAACATTTATTGCTTAAAAATGCTGTGTCTGTACTAGTAGCTTAGTGCACTCCTGTTTTGCTCCAGGGATGGGTTTCCTGGTCACTCATATTCCCCATGGTCAGTATGTCAGATGTCTGTCAGTGTCTGAGCTCTCTTCTGGAACAAATCTGTTGGTATCCCCAAGGGCAAACCTAAGTGTCACCAGCTGTGTAGTTCATACCAGGGTTTGCTCCAGACAGACAGGATAGATGTGGAAGGCACCAAATGTATCATTTTCAACAAGGACAGTGCTTCCAAGTTATTCCAGGTTAGGTAATAGCATAATTTATACTCTCACCCATCTTTTTCCTAGAGCACACAATATTTTCTCCTGGCATTGTAGTACTCTTGATGCAGCACTGCTCTGCTGCCCACAGCATACACCTGTTAGTGTTCTCCATACTTTGAACTGAAAATAATGACTGCTGAAGAGGAGACAAGAGCAGAGCACTGTGCAGCATGGCTGCAGCAGCCCACTCAGAAGAGAGCAAACTCTTGACAGTGTGACCATGAGTTGATCTGCAAAAATTGGCATGTGGGCAAGGCCTGGTGAAAATGGCCATGAGGTAAAGAAGGTCTTTTATTCCCCATTTAACAGAAGGGTGCAGACTGACTCAGCAAGAGAGCATCCTCAGAGCATGTTGAAACCAGATCTCCCAGGTCACAGGGAAGCAGTTCTCAGTACAGAACTGTTAGATAGAAGCAAGTGGGGAGAGGAGATGGGACACAAGTACTGTCATCACCACCATCTTCTTGTCTTCTCTCTGCTCCTGTGGATGAAACATGATGGGTTAGGCAGGTTTTGGATACACCTAGTGGATCAGGCCCTTCTGGTAGTAAAGTGGCATGCCATTTCTCAATCCTGGAGAGGCAGGCACCAAGCTGTTTAGTGCTGTGAGGTCAGAAGTGCTTCTGAGCACACCCAGAAGCTGGACTGAAGATTCCAGGTGAACGTCAGCATTAGAAGAATGTCACATTATGGAGTCTCTTTGGCCTCTGGGCTTTGGTGAACAACTGCAGCTTCAGGACCATCACACACGAAACCAGCCTCAGACCCACCAGACCATGAATTACATCTCCCATAAGTGTGTTGGCATGGCCAACACTGAGGGGGTGATGAGGGGCTAGAATGAACTAATTCTCTACTCCTGTGGGAAAAGAAGTGCCTCTGATACCCTGCAAAGGTGCTCACACAGGGCTGTCCCCAGTCTGACAGCAGCAAGGCCAGAAGGGTGGAGATGAAGATGCCATTGCTAGTGCAATGGTTCCATTGGCTTCAGGCTGGGACACCCAGTACAACAGTGTTGAGTCACAGCAGCATTTAATCTTGTGTTGCCACAGGTGGTGAGGCATGTCCAGTCATTGTTATATTGTTGGTAATTCCAGGTAGATTTCAGGAGAACTGAGAGAGATGGAGATAGATACTGAGAATCATTGCAGCCTTCATCCCAAAATGAAACTCCAGATGAGCACAGTAACTGTCCAACTATTGCATCTATTGCCTGACTTTGCATCCATCAATTAGCGTGTTCTTACTTTCTCTCTTCCAATCTAGTACCTGATTTTAACTGAATTTTCAGAAATACACTTCCTGCACCTCTCCATAACTCACCAGCTTCTCTGACTTCTACAAAAAGAAAAGCAGAGGGAATAAAAAACAAACCCCAGGCAAATCACTGCTGAGTTTTGAATTCGGCATTCAGAACAACAAATACATCCAAGCGATTTTTGCTTTACTGTTAGTCATTTGTACTAACCTGCAATTAAAAGGCTCAGCATTTGTTCTCATCTCTTTGTGAAATTACATTTTCCACTTCCTAGGCCCTGGCCTCAGGCAGTGGATTTTTGAAGCATTCATGCCTTGGTAATTAATGTTTAAAGATGAATGTTGCAACTTTTAACAGTGTGTCGCTGAGTAAATACCCAGCAATGCCAGGGACCAAAAAAGAACACAAAAAATACAAGGCTTTTACTGGAAGCTGCAGGTTTTGTGGACATTATCCTTCGAGCTCCCAGCTGCAGTGCATTTGATTAACCCTTCCTCAATGCCTGGGGATGTGGGAGACTGCCATGCTTCAAAAAAAAGGCAGAAGAAAATAAATACCACATCTAGTCTGTCAGTTCTTTATACCACTGACTCATCACCCCCTAAAGCTTGCTGGGAAGGGTTAGCTCATACAGAGAGGGAGGAGACAAATCTTTGACAAGTGATCTGTATATGTAACACCACCAGTACCATTTTTGGTTTTGCTAAAGGCTAGGAGGACAAGGGATGGAGTGGAGAAGGAAGGGGTAAAAATGGAAGATGGGGGAGCAAGTATGGTCAGAAGTTCCTTTCCTATTTCATGTTCCTTCATTTGTCCTGAGTCTGCCTTTTCTTTGTAGAAGCTATAGCTTCCAGTCTGTTACTAACCAGGTTGGTTGTACGTGTGATAGCAGCCCATCCAATGCAGGGCTTCTGTATATGATGCCAAGTGCTCCTCAATACCATTATCTGAATCTATCACTGCAGCATTTTTGGATGCTTTAGAAATTAAGTTACTGTGTCATCCCTTTCTAACAGAAATCCCTAGCAACTGAAAAGGCAAGTGGGAAAATCAGCAACCTTGGCATTTCAGGAAGGGAAAAGGGTGGTCTGGATTGAGGTTGCCTCCTTTCTTTGGCATCTGACTTGGCATTGCAGTCCTGATTCAGACCTTTTGGAAGACACACCTCATGTCTAACATTTCCCAATCGGTTGGAACAAGGCAGCTGTCTCTTCACCAGAGCCTCCTAAGACAGGAGAAGTGGGAAAGTACTCACATAGTCTTGTGGGTGGTTTCTGTCAAAAAGGGCACTTTACCATGGGAGGAGTCTGGCCATACCAGGGACCCCACACTGCATCCATTAGTTTGGTATGTTCCCTTTCAATCTGATCTCTTAGTACTGTTTCTCATTCACCATAGCCTTTCCCTGGTCAGGCAGAGGCTAGTGACATAATTATAGAATGGTTTGGGGTGGAAGTTCAAATGGATTAGCTTAAAGCTCATCCATTTCCAACCACTGCCACAGGCAGGGACATCTTCCACTAGAGCAGGTTGCTCCAAGCCCCATCCAACCTGGCTTTGAACACTGTCAGGGATGGGGCAGCCACAGCTTCTCTGGGCACCCTGTGCCAGCGCCTCAGCACCCTCACAGGGAAGAATTTTTTCCTTATCAGATCAACTGGAACATGTAAAGAATACTACCATGGGCTAGTTCCCCCCGCTTCTTTTCTACCCTCCAGAAAAGAGAAGGAAATTCCCAATCCAACACACAACTGGCAGGTTGGCAAAACAAGTTTGAAGCAGGTGCTTTGGGCTTTGTTACTCTTTCATGTTCTTTCTGCTCAGAAGAAACCAACACCCAAAGAGCTCCTGGAAGAGCTCCATGTCTCTGATTCTGCAATTAAGTGTGAAAACGGAACCTCCCAAATAATCTTGCCTTTCTGGAAGTTAAGTTCAGGCTTTAAGAAAGATTAGTGAGAGAAACATTCAGCACTAGTCATACTCATTTGGGTAACAGGCAAGTTTCTGCCTGTGCTCACTTCTAGTATTCATTATGAGTGTGTATTAGTGACTTCCTAAGCAGTAATCCCAGCTGAATAGTAAATGAAGTAGTGCCTTCTGCTGTAATAATTTCCTGTTCTTTTAGCATTGTTTATGTACCATCAACAGCATGCTGATACATTAACGGGGTACCCAGTGCTTGACTATTTCATTACCTTTTGCTTTATTTATCTCCCCAGATTGCTGGGAATCCTAAAAGGATTAAGATGATTTTTAGATGATTTCGGTGCTGAAGTACAGTGGGTTTGAATTCCTTTGTTTGGTTGGTTTTCTTGGCTCCTTTAAAAGTTTTCCAGTAAAGATGAAGACCTATTTGTACTAAATTTAGGCCTGCTCAAAATAGTTTGCTTTTGTTTATTCTAATGATTTTTTCACAGATCCCTTAAAAACCAGAGGTCCAGAGAACACTACTGCAGGCTGCTTCAGTTACACTTTGTGTTAAACATGACACAGATCAGATCGTTCAGCATTTCGCTAAATGGAAGCATTACCAAGTACCATGGAATGGAAAATGCTTTGGGAGTAAAAGCACTGTGTTTTTCCAGAAATGCTTAATCTTAAACAGATCATTCAAATGGAGTGTAATAAACACTCTACTGCAGCTAATGAAAAGATTTTGTTCAACCTCAGTGGGCCCTCAACAGGCAGAGATAATACGCTTACCCTTGCTAACAGCATTCATTTAGCTGTGTTTCCTTTCCTACAGTGGGAATTAGATTTCCTTCTCCATTGTTTGTACAGAAAGACTCAGACTCAAGAAGATCATGTAAGAGCCACTGTGTTTAGAAAAAGGAGCTGCATTTGAATAGAAGATACCCCCAACTTCAGCCATTTAGCTTTAGTCAAAAGAAGCACAGAATCGTAGAATCATAGAATAGTTAGGGTTGGAAAGGACCTCAAGATCATCTAGTTCCAAGCCCCCTGCCATGGGCAGGGACACCATCCTCACCATGCTTTTGAGATGATGCCCTACAAGGGACCATACCAGTCAACTACTGCACTACTTGCCTTGCTGTAGTGAGGGACTGTGAGACAGCCCTCATAAACAAGCAGCAAGCAAGCACCTCACATGCCAGCTCACACACATGTGCATGTGTTCACTGGTGAGCATGTATGTTAAGCCATTCAAGTTTAAGTACCTCTGGCTGGAAATGTTTAGCTTTTTTTTTTTCCTAGCCTTCATTCCCAGCTTATTCCAAATCCTAACCCCAAACTTAATGTACTTCATTCTTACATTACCTGCTTTGAAGTCTATGGACCTGAACTGGGCAGGCTCCCACCACCTTCGGTTGTCTCTGGACCAGACTTCGGCTGGTACATTTTATCTAGAGGACACTTTGAAAGACCTATAACTGTTGATTTCCAAGGTCATTTTATAAGGACCAGAACTCACAAAGAAGCAAGCAGAGGCACAGAGCAATTTGATCAGGGGCACAGTCACCTAAGTATCAGAGCTGAGGGTAAAATTTAGGGATCTGGCTTACTACTTGCACCAAAGCATAATTTGCCATCTTTGGGGTTTGTTTTGTCTTTTGCTCTTTTTCATCCTTATTTCTTCACTGTTAGAATTAAAATGACCAAGGTCATTTATACCCCTAATTCCTTTTCTTGTCCTGAAACCATCAATGAATGCTTTCTCTAAAGGTGCCACATGCTACAGTTTTCTCTCAGAGAGCATGGGATAGGGAGAAGAAAGCTTCATTAGTGACCCTTTTGCTATGTAACCTTTCCTTAAAATGCCAGCAACTGAGCTTCCACAGAGAGAACAGCAAATATTGAAAGAGGAATGTGAAGGGCATTATGAAAGAAGAAAGCAAGAAAAGGGATCTGCTCAGACAAGTTTCTCAGGAAAGGTGATGTAATATGTACTGTAGAAAATCCTAGCAGTTGACATAACTTACTCTCTTTCTAAGTAGCTGTGGCTGCCAGCAGGCTGGGAGAAACAAAACATACGGCTGGGAATACAGCTGAGCAGACTGTTTTGTCCAGAAGAAATATAGTAGGTGTAAACCTTGTTTTCAAAAGATGTCATTGAAGTGTAATTGAAAAGTGTCCTATTAATTAAAGCTGAGCAACCAATGGATGAAGTCTCATCTCCTGGGACAGTTCATGGGGATACTGTAACATTAACTGCTGCGTGCTGGGAGCACTCAAGGGGCTGCTGTTTGGATGCCATGGTGCATGGTTCCATCACAAGCATACAGACCTGTTCCCAGAGTTTTGCCAATGTTTAACAAGTATGTAAACAGCTGTCTTGAAAGTTGTCTGTCTATTGACTGACTTGCACCTAGTTCAGCCTGTTTTCTGATGGAAATTACTGTTCTTGGCATGCATTTTGTGTGTGTGTCTGCATCCGTGTCTTAACAGTTTGAGATCCTCCTTCCCTGTTACAGCAGACCTGACAGAGAGGCACAGGCTCTTTGAGACATTGAAGATATTAGATGTTTGTGGAAGAAGGTGACTGGGTCTTCTCTGCAGGGTAGAGGCTACAGGGACCTGTGCTCTCAGTTGGCCTTGGAGACTCCAAGAGGTCCAAATCTGGAGGATCCCAGATTTTCTTACTCTGCTTCTCACAGAGCTTATTAGTTTAAAAATCTTGGCTGAAGCCTGAAATGTTTCATCTTTAAAAACATTAGCTTCTCTACTTTGTTCCACCTGGTACATTACAGAGCTCCTATGTGCAGAGACTGATAAACAAAAGTACCATGAAGCATGAATGTATCCCCCTAGGTGGGCTAGTGCATAAAAATTGGGTAAACTGATAAACAGAAAGTCCCAACCCATGGACCGTTGTGGATTTATTAATCATTGCCAACAGAGGAAGAGCTGTATAGGAGGAATGTCTTTTATGGAAATTGTATTTAGTTGTAGGACTGAAATACATGGTCTGTTACTTCTTAATAACTACTGCTAGCACTGTTCAGACAGCCAACAGGCATGGTTTAATGAAAAGAATGCGTGGTTGTTTTAATAAGGTTTTTGTGAATAATGATGGGCAAAGCTGCAGGAGATCCCTGATGTTTCTGATGGGACTACTGTCCTGTCAAAGTGTCATGTGCTACCTTCTTGCTTTACTGTATATTGGTTACAAGGCAATCACGACCACTGACAGTACTAGATGTTTTGTCGCAGTGGGAGTAGAGGCACTCTGTTGAATCTTTAGGAATGTCTGAATATTCTTCCTCTGCCTCTGCTCCTTTGCATTTTCCCTTTTATTCTAGGTGAAGTCTGGATAAGAGCTGTCAGGAGACCTTTTTAGGTGGC